TTATCTTTCCCTTCTCTTACCATCCCTTTCTTTGCATCTTGTTTTCATATCACCTTTCTTAGAAGCACTTGCTGTAAAATGCAAAGATGTCTGTAACGCCAAAAGGCAGCGTACCAACATCAAAAGTGAATCTTGTAAACAAACGAGCAAAAAAGGGCCAACTCTACCTTTGATTTCCATGTGACACAAATTGCTCTCTGTTAGAGATGGCCTTTGGTGACAGTGTTCACTCACTTAATGGACAGAGTCGTTGTGAGGATTACAAGAAATAATGTATGTGTTAGCCTTTAAATACATACATACATAATTTCTGTTAGGGAAAACTTCCCAATTCCCAAATATGTTGGACTCTGACTCCCATAAATGTTGGCTAACATGGCCACTGACCCAGTGACTGTGAATTCTGGGAGTTGGATTCCCAGCAGGTTTAAAGGGTGTCAGGTTGGAGAGGGGCACAAGAGTAATACATTAATTAAGGCCAATTGAAGAAAAAGGCAAATAAATAACAGAAAGTAGTGAATATAAGTTAATATAATATAACTTCTCCAAAACTCATTATAGAGGCTGAATGTGTAACCGTGCATACAAAAAACATATTGGAGGTGTCATCATGGAGGGGAGAGAATATTAATTTCACTGGCAGTGGTGAAAAAAAAAAGCTAGTCTGCAGTTATGGAAAGCAATATACAGCTGCAGAAGCAGCTGTTTAATTAAGGCATTTTTATTGTATTCTTTCATTCCCCCCCCCCCCCCCCCAAAATTGCAGAGGATTCACATCATTCCTGCACAGAATGGATAGGAATTTTTCAACATGTGAAGTGATCTTCAGTTGCTGCTTAGGCTGATCTGCATGATCTCCAGCAATCTCCCTTGCAACACTGGAGTCTGTTGAAGTTCGGTGGCTAAAACAAATTTACATACATACATACATACATACATACGCACACACACGATGCAATTCTAAGCAAGCTTTCCCAGAAGCAGGTCCCACTGAATTCAAACTTAGATGAGATGTGAATTGCCATTCTCTTTTCCTAGGGAATTCTGACGAATGAAAGGCATATGCATTAGGGATGTCCTTTAGAAGCTTATTAGCACCTTTCATCATCATTTTAGAAAAAGCTATGGCAGTTAAAAATTGTATTAATGTCTCATAGTGCAAATATGGCCCAAAATTATGTTGGGTTCCTAAACATTACTTGCTCCTGATGGCTTTTAGAACAGGATGCCTCTCACCAACTTTTTACTCTATAGGAAGTTTGCACAGGACTTGGTGAATTTTTCTCTTGGACAAAGCAAAATAAACCAACTTTTTAATATGAAAATATTTTGAGAATGATTTCTTAAAACACGGTGAATAATATGCAACAGTTTTCAAACCACCATAGCTGGGTTCACACAGCACAGTAAGGGAAAAACCATACAAAAGACACGTTCTGTTCACCTGTTGTGATAAGCCATGGTTTGTTTGACCATGCTCAAAACAAACCTCATTAAGTTGTGAATAAATCACAGTTTATGAGCCACAAAAGCTGAATTCACACAATATGCTTGGCACAAGATTGATTGATTGATTGATTGATTGATTGATTGATTAAATTTCTCCCCCGCCTATCTCCCCGCAATGGGGGAACTCTGGGCAAAATGTAAAAATCGCCAGTGTGACATTTTATGTTTAGTCAAACTTAAGAGATTTTTATAGCCCCTTTAATGTGTTTATTGTTGTGTGTTTATATACTGTCAGATTTAATTGATGCCTTATTGTGTTACTTGATTGGAATTTCCATTGTTGTTGACTACAAGTTGTCTCCAGTTTAAGGATGAGCACTGTTCCCAAGGTCTGTCCTTAAGTTGAATTTGTATGTAAGCCAAAACAGTATTATTGTATAATATTGTATAATTAGTATCGTGTAATGAACTCGAACCACTATGTATTTAACTCAAATCATTGTGTATTTAACTCGAATTTTGCTACAATAGGCTCCATTCTTAACTATGGGTTGTCTGTAACCTGGGCATTCTTAACCTGGGGACTCCCTGTAAATGACTGAGCATTTCTAGAGGACTAGAATAATGCCACCAACACTAGAAGATCTGAAGGACGTGCTTTGAGGTCAGATCAACCTGGAGAAAATCTATCTGTGTGGTTGCTGAGAGTCAACACCGACTCAAGGGCCCATCATTGTCCTTAATAAATGCAAGCCCATTTGGCATTTTAAGAGGCTGTTGCAGACACTCTCGCAAAATGGTTGTCACAGTGGGCACGGCCAATCACAGCATTTGCATTTCTCCAGAAGGCAGACCAGGGAGCAGCCTCCTCCTCGCCCCCTTGCCCCTGCCAGGATGTCCTCTGCAATCTTCTAACCGTCTTGGCTTCGAGGCAAGCGGGTGCCCTCCCAGAGCCCCAAGAAGCAGGAGCAGGGGTGCCCATGAGGTTAACTTGCTCTCCCACTTTGCCTCCACAGAACCATCTGGTATGAATTGTACGCCCGGGAATGGCCGTTCAAGACCCAACCAGCCGAGGCAATAATTTGGCAAGCAGGCCGAGGGATGAAGCCAAACCTCAGCCAGATCGGCCTGGGGAAGGAGATTTCAGTAGGTGACTTTCGGATGAGGCAGGGGCAGGGAGTGGAGAAGAAAAGCAGACAGACTGGTGGAGCATTTCCCCATTTGCATGTTTCGGTGTCTCAGGAGCACCTCTGTAATGTGGCGTGGATGGAGATGGGGAAAGTTTGGGGTGAGGTTCTTGCTCCGCCGTGAAGTTTACGGGTCTTTCAGGCAGCGCACGGCCTTTCAGGACGGTTGTTTGAGGATCAAGGGAAAGAAAACAGGGGGGTCATCCTGTGGATGGACAGGACAGCCCCATTCCCAGTGGGCATGGTGTTTCAGCCCATACCACAGATAGAAGACCAACCCTTGTTGCAAGCTGCCTCCAATCATCATTTCCACCCAGGCTGGAGTGGAGGCTAGAGAAGAGAGGAATGGAGAAGGAACTCCGTTCTTTTACCCCGAGTGGGATCACAGACCTCCCACCCCCAAAAGAGAAAGAGGCATAATCATTTCTGGGAAGGAAGGCTGGTGACTTTTAGCACCAAGTTTGCTTATCTAAAGCCTTTTTCTCCAGCTGTCCAGTCCCAAATGCATCCAGATCGGCTCAGATCCATAAAACAAGTCTAATGACAATCTAAAACACCCACCAATGGGAAAAAAGTAAACTCTGGTACTAGTGGTTTAATAGTAGATTCATGATGATTGGCTGAGGCCAGGAAAAATTCAGGACAAAATAGAAAGCTGATAGAATTGGCCTTTCAGCAGAGACAATGAACTGACCCTGATTCTTCACTCCTCCTCCTGCAGTTCTTATGGAACAAGCCTGAGGACCTCTAGGGCTGATGAGAAGTTGGAGAGGGGGAGGTTCCTTGGTTTTCTGCAGCAGCAGTAACAGCATACGCCAAGTCTGAAAATTTGCAGATGGCACAAGTTGCCATCTCACTGGGAGTCCGGTCAAGATCGGCTGCCCACGTATGCCATCACTTCTGGGCACTCTCTCGTTCTCAGTCTCCTTGCATAGCCCTTTCTTCCGGTTCTCTTTGCAGGACATCCTCCTCTTTTGCTGGGCCTACGAGCAGGAGGAGCGCCCCACCTTCACCAAGCTCATGGAGATGTTGGAGAAACTGCCAAAGCGGAATCGCCGCCTTTCCCACCCGGGCCACTTCTGGAAGTCAGCAGAGTAAGGCAGATGCTCTCCTTTCCGTGCGGGTGTCATTTGCTTTCCTCGGCCCCAACACATGAACAGCTGTATGGTGGAAACAGCAATTTCTTTAGTAATTGCAACCCATCTAAACCTTGGGAGTATAGAACAGGATTTTTCCAGTTGATTATTATCCAAGTCAAATATTAGAGGTCGAAACGTACTCTATGCATGCTTGTTGGTCCTCTTGTCTTATCCATGAATTCTGCAATTGCTGGTTCACCCTGTTCATTTTCACACATTCCAAAAGTGAGCAGGGGATTTGGGACAAGATACCGAGGGAGAGATTTGGCTCAAATTAAACATGGGGTATTGGCACACTGGTGCATGTAGGTCAAGGGCTCAGAATTCCTAGCAGCCAGGCAGTGGTGAAATATCTGGCTTTTGAAAACAAAAACAGAAAACTGCAATGCTCTTTCCTGCTCTGGCTGTTTACAGATCTCCCAAGGGTATAAACCTGAGGCTGTCCCTAACGCACACACACACATGCACACACCCCCTGTTGCTAGGCCAACTGTCTGCTCACAGCTGGAGTGAACGTTGCAAACCATTTCTGTTCTTCACTAGGAAAGAGGAGGGGAAGAGGCACCTGCAGGAAGGAATTATCTCTGTTTTTTAATAATAATAATAATAAACAATACCTTTAACACCATCAAACACCATCTGCCTATCTCAGGTCCTTGGGAAGGACTCGATAGGTGGATAAAAATGCCCAATCCAGTCTAAACATCTGGCTGACTGCGACCAACAACAGCAACAATAATAGTCCAATTTCCTCCCAGATTTCCCAACACTGGTCAGGCCTGAAAGACAATGTGGCATCGCAGGGTTTTGGATTAGAATGAGAGAGCCCCAAGTTCAGGTCCACATGCAACCACAGAAGCATATGAAAGCCCTTTGAGACAGTTATTCCCATCCATTCTCTAACTCTCCCCACAACCTACTTCCTAGGGTGGTTGTTGTGGAGTTCAAATCGGAGGAAAGAATGCAGTTTGCACTGCTTGGAGTTTCTGAAGGAAGGGCACGGTTTAAATCTAATAAGTAAATAAATAGTGGATTCACAGAACCAGATAGGTGTTTCCCAGGAATATGGATCTCTCTGGTAGGTGCCTTTCCCTACAGTTTCTTCACAGATGAGTGAGAATAATCGGGGAAGTGCTGGACGCCTTCTCCTGAACAGGGAGTGGAGACCTTCTGCACTTGCTTAGCTAATTCTCTCTCCACCCACCCTTACTTTCAACAGCGTCAGATGGATTCATTCATCACTCAAAGCTGCGGTGGGATTTGTTTGGATAGGGCTCAGTATGTTGTACAAATTGAGCCATGGTGGCCTGCAAACCAGGTGTCGTGGCTGAGGGCCTTTGCCCACTCCGGAGCTGAAGTCCCCTCCTCCCTCCTGGACTCAGCAGAAAACAATCAGCATGAAATGTGTTATCCCACTGCTGAGCCCTTTCCTGCCTGCTTCCCATTTCAAGCAGAGTCCTCTTGGAGTCTTTATTTATTTTGAGTGATTTTGGTCAATTGATTGATTGGAGACCTCAAGAGCCAGATTGGAGACACATCATTCTGGAGAAGGTCTGTCTCCATGGTTGCTAAGAGTCAACACTGACTTGATGCATATAATCTTCTAGCAAAGCCTAATTCCATCGTGGCTCCCTTGCCCAAATTTATCTTGCACCCAGGCACATTTTCTCAGGGGGACTTTCCTTACTACTGAACTGTGGTGCTGTCCACCCATCCTTGTGTTGACAGAATGCTACATCCTCATGAAATCTGCTCTTGCCATTGCTCGCCTCTACCTGGCCTCTGTTGCTCCTGTTTCAAGTCATCGACTTCCCTTCCTGAGAATGGATGACTAAGATTTTATACACCTTGAAACTGCCTTTGGATAGTGCCAAAGTGGGGAGGGGAGGAGTACTCTTTTAAAACCAATACATCTAAGACAACTTAAGCTTGTCTCATACATGGGCTGGAGGCCAGTTGAAGGCAACCACAGGAGGACATTGTGCCATGGTTAGGTGAGGTGGGAAAGGCCCTTAGTGTAAACTTCTTTCCCTGTTTGACTATTGTTCTCACTCTCTCTTTCCTTCCAGGCTGTGAATCAGAGGATTGGTGCCTTTCTTACATCCCTCTTCCTCTCTTTGCACCCTCCTTCCCCTTCTCCAACTCCTTCTCCTCCTGTCCTTGTCCATAGACTGGAAGGGTATGGCAAACATGGAAATGTTCCGGGATCAAAGAGGTGCTCTCTCATCCTGCCCTTTAGAACAACAGACCTGATGTCTGGACAGCAAGAGGAAAGTCATGCTCAGTCTTGGGGGAGAAGAATGGAAGGATCCTTGGTGTGGATGGAATGTAGGATGGAGAACATGAAGCAGACCAGATGCTGAATGGTAGCCCACCTGCTACCTGTCTGGAAACAACTGATGGCAACCAGCCCTCAGATATGTTCCCACTGGAATATCTGAGGGCAACTGTGAGCTACCCTTAGAAGCCATTTTGCATTAGTTGATCATGATGCTATTTCTTTTTTTGTGTGGTTTTCTTTGGGTGTTTTCCTTGGACCACCTGTTCCATCGCCTGCAGAGTGGAGAAAGGGGAAGGGAGCTTCAGTAGCCCCAACAGGAGCAGGGAGGAACAGGGTGAATTTTGAAAGCACACCATGGAGGCGCTCTTAAAATTGCTGTCAGGAATGGGTTAGATCCCTCCTCAAATTGCTGTCATTGTGGCATGGCTGCTCATCAAACAAACAAACAGGGCAGAGGGGGAATCTGAAGAGTATCAAGGGAGAGTTCCGTCTGGAGTAACTGTCATGCAGTAAAGAGTTTCCTGCACTTCCTCCAACTTTCCTCCTGGGCTCAACTTTGAGTGGTAGAAACTCCACCTTTTTTTGTATCTGACAACTCTAGCTGGGGTGGGGGTAAATTTCTAGATACAGATTTGAGATTTGACATCAACGGTTAACCTGCTCTTAGCCAGTTCTTGGCTGTTACAAGTCATCTTGTTCTTCTGGTGCCTGATGCTTTTTTTTCTTCTTCTTAATTGGTTGCTGGCATTCTCCACCATCTCTGTTACTTCCTCTTCACTGCCATCCCCGCCTTGCAAAACTGAGTAGGAACATGCCCCGATCCTGGTATTCATCTCTCCATCAGTGCTCTGCCAGATGTCAGATCATTGAGTAAGACCAGACCTACAGCATGCTACATACAGACACCACATGTATTTTGGGCTGTGTTCCTAATCCTCCAAATCTACTGTCTTATTTTGTTTGCAAGGGACTTCTCTGGAGGGCATTATAATTCACATCTGGCCGGTGGTGTGGCTAGAGAATTTTTGGCTCTGAAAACAGTTTTAATGTGCTTATTTGGGGAGAGGGGGCTGTTCGGGTCGGAAAAGATATTCATCTAATTATTTCAACATGCAGTAAAGTCCTCCCTGCTCCATTTGAGGATCCTCATTCTAAGCAGAGCCCTAGGTTTCTGCTTCAGTGTCTTACTCTGATGGCATAATTGCATCCAGCTAGTTGGAAATCCCTTTGAATGTTGCACTGAAGCCACTTGAGGTTTCTATCAATTTCAGGGCCAAAAGAGCTGTGCCTTTATCTCACTAGGTCTTCAGTTCTGTATACAACAACTACAACAATGACAAAAAATACCTAACAGCTGAGTGACCCTGTCTTCCAGACAGACCCTCTTGAGATCATTGCAGTTAACTATGTGGTCCCAACATTCAGGCCGGGTTGTTTTTTCCCCACATACGATGTCTTGATTTTTCTCTCAATATTCTCCACGGACGTGGGGACCAACCACAGTTTCCCACCCCCAATCCACAATGTCTTGAGTCCTGTGGAAGGTACAAAATGAGAAACTGTAAGAGCTGCCCATCAAAAAAGCTGCAGGAAAAATAATGGAAGTGCTGCTAACAGACAGGGTTCCTCTCTGGAAACTGTTGAAGAAATGCAACAGTTCTCACTTTCCTCATTTTCCTGCCTGCAAGAATTTCAAAGGCTTGTTTGTGCCACCATCATTTCACCCTTGTCCACCTCTTGTCAGCTTTCCTTTCTTTATGGCCCTTGCTGCGTTCTTCTGCTCCTGATTCTCTGCACGTCTCTGGGGTGAGGCATGTGAAATGCTCCATAAATATTGCATTAATCTATGGGAGGAGGTTATTTTTTTTTCACCTAAGTTCCTCATTGCAAAGGGTAAACAGCAAAGCCACCTCCACAATCTTCCTCCAGGCACCCTATATTCTGCCTGGAAAAGTTGCAGGGTGTGATCTCGGCATATTCCTCCATTTTTTATTATCTTTGTTGGGTTCCTGGCCCTTGTAAACCAGGTTTTGCTTAGGACTTGCTATGAGTTTTGAAGGAGTGGTGTAGGAAAGAGATTTGATGGGTCTAATTGGGCCTGTCCAGTTTCCTTCCTTCTGAGGTTGAGACATTCTTGACACTTTACAAGATTTGCATAGTTGCCTGAAGAGCAGTCTTACATTTTTTCAGTTCCAAAGTTCATCCATCCCTGTTGTAAATGTCACGAGAGCCACCTTTCCCTCCTCTTATCTTCCCCTTGGCCACATTTTTGTCATCCTGGTGGTGGGCTGCCCCCTCCCACAACTCTGTGCTCTTCTTTTTCACAAGGAAATGGCAGCATGAGATCAGAAAGCCTTCCAATGATCCGTTTCCACTTCCCTCCTTTAAGTCAAAGCTCTAACCTCTAGGGCTTTGACCCCATGAAGCCCAAGGAAGGTGATGGGAAGAGCCCAATGGCCAGCTCGCATGCTTTGTTAGCCCAACATTGCCAGGCTAGACCCCAGTATTCTCTGGTTGAGCTGGGAAAGGCTCCTGCCTGAAACGATTTGGCCTGAATGAAATGAAGGTGGGAGAATGGGGAGGATGCTCGTATGACACGGGCAGTAGCCACATGGGGGCAGAATTGATGCTTTTCATGAAGACAGACTAACTTCAATCCCCAGGCATGGTTGAAAAGAGCTTCTATGATATGGTAGTCCAGATTTGGGAAAGCTGCTGCCCTCCAACAGTTGTGGAACTCAGACTCCCCATTTTCCTGGGGCTTGGGGGAGTTGTTGCTCTGTAGCTTCTAGAAGGCCTGAAGTCC